GGTGCCAACTTCATTTTTCCCTTTTTTAAATGAATTATCAGACTGGCAGAATAAGAAATTGAAGTGATTTACTATTATAGCTGAAGAGAGAGTGAAAATTTGATTGATATTAAGCAATTTGATGGCTAATCATATGAATTTGAATCAAAATCGTTGAAGGAGATTGAAAGTCCACTGGGTGATGCGAACGTGCGTATTGCCGATGGGCTGATCCCTGATGATGTAACTGATGAGTGAAGTGAAAGTGATTGAATTGACTCGTGAAGAGTTTGGAATTATAAACTCCTCCCATAACTATATAGGAGTAAACACTTAACACCATAAGTAAGGGTTTTAATAGATTATGTCCCTGGTTTTCGAATTGAGTTTTATTTATTTATTTTCTCTCCTCATGTTGGGGCTATAAACAGTCCACGCGACATGTCTTATCAATATTTCACGGATCATGCTACTTATACATTTTTTTTAGGGAAAATTGCGGCCGCGGNGGTGCCAACTTCATTTTTCCCTTTTAAATGAATTATCAGACTGGCAGAATAAGAAATTGAAGTGATTTATGATTATAGCTGAAGAGAGAGTGAAAATTTGATTGATATTAAGCAATTTGATGGCTAATCATATGAATTTGAATCAAAATCGTTGAAGGAGATTGAAAGTCCACTTGGTGATGCGAACGTGCGTATTGCTAGTGGGCTGATCCCTGATGATGTAACTGATGAGTGAAGTGAAAGTGATTGAATTGACTCGTGAAGAGTTTGGAATTATAAATTCCTCCCATAACTATATAGGAGTAAACACTTAAACCATAAGTAAGGGTTTTAATCGATTAAGTCCCTGTTTTCGAATTGAGATTTTTTTATTTTTATTTTTTTTCTCTCCTCATGTTGGGGCTATAAACAGTCCACGCGACATGTCTTATCAATATTTCACGAATCACTTCACACTATAAAATTATAAATTATCAACAAAAAATTTCAAGTGAACTAATTACTTGGTTATGTGATTCGAAAGAAAAGAAATTGAAATTGATTTCGATGTTTAAATATAAAAAATGGAATCAATATAACAAACAAAAAGTTGTGTGGATTTGTATCATCTATTACTCTTAGGAATTTATTTTTTGAAAAATCAAGGATCATTTATTGAGTTAAAAACGACTTTCTGGCGCCTAATTTACTTGACTTCTGATTTTTGGTTTGATCAATTTTACGCTCTGATTTTCTCTTTGATGAGACAATCTATTGAAATAGCTGTGTTTCGCGAATGCGTTTTATGAAGTGTTAAAACCGAATTATGGGAGGTCCATGTGATAGCCTCCAGCTGGTGAATTAAACGTGACTTGAATTGTGCTAGTTTGCCTTTGATTTGGACAATTGGATCAAACCAATGGCTGGGATTGAGTCTTGAGTTAAAACGACTTTCTAGCTCCTAATTTACGTGACTTCTGATTTTTGGTTTGGTCACTTTACTATCTGGTTTTTCTCTTTGATGAGACAATCTCTTTTCTTCTTTTTCTCTCTAGCTATGAATCTGTGAGATACTGAAAGCTATTTTGTATCCCTTGTAGAGTGATCTTGTTACAATAACATTGGCTTGTAATAGAGGTTGTGATAAGGGTTGTGTTGTACTAATTTAGAGTCATTTTTGGTCTGTACATTAGGGTTCGGTACTCATATGACTTTAATTTGGTATGATCTTTGGATCCTCTCGTATCTCTCTCTTGTTGACCTATGGTTGATCATGACCTTAATGTTTTGATTATAACAAACAAGTCCATCTTGTT